AACTAAATGTACATCGTGCAAAATGTTTCTTGAAAGAAACATTGAAAGAAATGGTGGCGCTTCCAGAAGTCTGCATTGCCTTGAGAGATTAATCTAAAGAGATTAGCCACTGGAAAAACTAGTTTTAATGAACTGCCAGTGAGGTTATTGAGATGTTCTCTTGCCGTCATACACATGGAAGCAATTTGACAGCTGTATGTCAGTTCTTATAAACATTTTTGTTCCAAAACAGGTCTTACATATTTTTGAAAGAGGTTATTTCTACTAACTCACATTCGAAGTGCCTCCTGTCTGAGAGAGATTACTTGTGAGCACTGTTCCCTCTAAGGTGCGCGGTTGCGCGGCTGTGCACATGTCAAGAAAATGCTGCGCAGAAGTTTCCAACTACCGCTCAGTGTTTTTTAGCATGAAAAATCCTCGGCTCTACCAGCCGCCTTCCTCCCCCAAAAAACTGCCCAGCCGGGGCGAGCAATGAAGCCGAAACAACGCCATGCAATTCAGGACCGAGAGGAATTGACAAGCTCGGCAGGTAAAAATCCTCCCCAGCCACCACCACTAGCAACCCCTGGCCCAGGACTCTGTTCGAGCTTGTCAAGGAGTGGCTGTGCTGCCAATCCAGTTCCGTCTTTCGGCAGGCCTAGCCAATCACCACGAGAAACTTAAAGGCGGTCATGAATAAAAGGCGGGAGCATCTCGGAGGTAGATTCAGCCTCCGCAGAAGGAAATGTGTGATGGACAGGAGGGAGGCAGCAGTGGAGAGGGAATTGTGGTGGTGGCGGCTCGTGCCTCCGTTCGGATGGGTGGCATCGCATCCTTTTTGCTGTGTGGTTTGGCGGGCGCTGGGGCTGCTCCTGGTGGTTGCCTCCTCTTTCCCTGAGGGGAGAGCAGAGCGCTTCAATCTTCCGGAACCTGCAGCCCCCGTCACTTATTGGCGTCTATCCGGGACTGTTTTTTGAAGCTCTGAGTGCATAAGGCAGGTGGCAAGTCCACAAATTGTTTTCCTGAAAGTAATATCCACTTAACGGAGCTTCCTTGTTATAACCGTGAACAGGACCACCGG